AAAGAAGTTTTAAGAGAATTTCATATTTTTTTTCATACTTGCTACTTTAATTGAAACAATAGTCTGAAAATAGTATCACGTTTACGTGTCAGGGTACACTATTTCACTTGGGGGAGGTTCAACTGATACAATTTCCAGTCTTTTGTGAATATTTACCCGTCAGGCATGTTTGGAAAGATATTGCACATATTTTGGTTTCATAGCTTTGATTGTTTTCATGGCACTGTGATAGGTATTTTTGATGTTTCTAAACCTTTTACTTAGGTAACGGGGATTCGATTGTTCTCCACGCTAGACTCACAAAAACACACACAAGCTCAGTTCATGTCCATTCGATTCTTTGCTTGTCTCTCGCTTTCTTTCCGAGACAGCTTAAAATCACTTTTTATTACTTGTCAACCATTAGCCAATTACAATACAGTATAAGAGACTTTAAGGGCTTGCCTTCAAACAAACAACCAATCACATGAAAGTTTTACACACCATAATACAATTGATTAATCGTCACTATATTAGGAAAACCACTATCATATTGTCAACGTCAGTTTATATTTATGGGTTTTAATAGTCTTGCAATAACATTCCACAAAGACACCGCATAAGTTTAAAATCGCAAACACCATTAGTTTTGGGTTACGACCAAAGTACCGCATAAACTCAAAAATTGCAAACTCATGGGATGTGTCGGCTGGTCTCGACTAGTTCCGCCATCTGGCCTCATCATTAACCTTTATCAGTAATTTAACCTTTATCAGTAGATGTCATGGCAACCACTATTAAGCTGAAATATAAATCATGATAGCACCATACATGCAATTAGTATAATACTACGTTGATAGACTGCATGTCACCAATATCTTGACGTCACAGGCAAGTTTACTCAAACGGGCGTAGATACATTTTGTTACAACATTTTGATATCAACCTTGGAAAACAACATAAAGTAACTTTTTTTGGAATTCAGCACAGAAGTTTCTGCAATATTACCTCGTTAGTACACAGCCATTGCCGAAGATAATGGTGGAAGTTATTGGTATTAAATCCGTTTTATTTTCGCCTAGTTTTTTATCGATAGAAACAACAATACAAATCAGGAAAACAAAATCAAACTGGGAATATCAGTTGGAAATATCGGTCAGGGCCCGCCAACTTGTTGGCGGCAGTGCTATCACTCGAACTATCTAGTTCAGACGATGGACTATTAGATTCCTTTGCTTCCTTTTAACAAACTGTCTACATAACAATGCCCATTATTTACTTTTTTTTCACATAGTTAGTACGCAGCTATTTTCCTCTGTTTTTATCGATGGAAACAACAATAAAACGACCAATTATAGCATACACAAAAACTTAATCAAACTGGGAATATCATTCGGTAAATATCGTCAGGTCTGGCGAATATTATTTTGTTTCAAGCCATGTAGTTACGACCTAGGCAATTTAATTGCATTTAATTTATTTACACCTGTGACTGTTTCTCTTTATATGGTAAATATCGGTAAATTAATCGCATTTAATTTATTATTACTTGTAGGCCAGCTGACTGTGGCTTCAACGATGTTACATTTTGATCACATGTGGCGCTCCTGACAAATGTGAAGGGAGAACGAGATGAAGGCTGTATGCAATTTGAAATATACCCGGTCTTTCATACTTGAATATAAATTAATGCAGTGCGCTGTTGTTTTACACACAAATATCGACACTACCTTGGGGAACAGATGACGTAATGACGTGTGAAGAGAGACGCATAACAAATGTTGTCGTTTCGATTGGGCTGATCTACATTTATCTGGCAATCCTAAACAATGTACCGAGATATTCATGTGCAACGGATTATACACATAACACAAACGACAATTGCAGTCGAATGTTATCAGTGATTGGCCTAATGTTAACCCATCTGATCGTTTGACTGAGAATGTTTTGAATTTTCCGCCTTATTTGTAGGAAACCGA